TTTATATAGAATAACTAAAATGATTTATTTTTAAAAATTGTCAGGTGTCTCTATACTTTTTACCAGTGAGTATATATATATTTATCTATTTTTATAATAGATTATTATATAAATAGAAACTTTAAATTAAAAAATATTCTAACTATACTTATATACAAAATAGCTTATTATAGTAAGTCAAAATATTTTAAAGTACAAGTTAAAGCAGTTTTTTATAAAAAACAAAATTATTTTATTTAAAATTTAAAATTTTTTGATTATCTAAATAAATTATTTGATTGAAAATACATTAAACTATATATTTTTTTTATTTTTATATATAAAATAGATATTTCAAAAATATTAAAAAACAAAATATCCTAAAAATCAAAAATCAATTTTAAAAACATATATAATTCTAATTATACAATTATTTAACTCATTATTCTAATTATATATTTTTTTAAAATAAATATGTATTTTAACTTTTTGAGATTTTAAAATATTTATTTTATATATATTATTAAAATACATGTCAAATATAAAAAAATAAGTAATATAAAAAGAAATTTTAATTTTATATGATTTATAATATAAGATATAATAAGATAATTGATTTTAGTTAATCTATGATATAGAAATTTTTGATTTTTAACTAATCTATAATATAGGAATTACCATTTGATATAGTGATTCTTTTATATTTGACTAGTGAAACTATTAAATTTAATCAAATATATATAATTAAAATTATAAAAAATTAGAATTGAATTATATGAATTTTTTTTTTTGTATTAGGATTAACTCTTGTTTAACTGCTCAAGGCTTTATATTGGTAATTCTGCGAGTACCACAGACCTCACAACTTAACTATTACCTTATTCGGCAAGCCGTACTGGACCAGTAGGAAATTATCCTTCAAGATCTCAAGTTACAACCCTACTATTAGCAGTCCTGATGAAATACTACAGTAAACTGATAAATATTTATACTGAGATATCATTGTGAAAGGGCAATGTTATACTGCAAGATCGCATCCTGTCTAAGGTGTTCCTATTCAGATATCCTTGTAATTAGAAGGTGCAGAATCTGGAAATTTATGTATTCACCATCTAGTAGCAGCTAGGCTATCCATTATAATTACTATTATAACTAACACTGGTCAAAAATTAAGTACAAGGTGCAGAATTATTTACACCCCTTATTTACCTTTCCTTCATCATCAGCACAACAAATATTTCAAGAATTGAACTCAACCTCTAAATCACTAATCTAAGCACTAGCTATCTCGTGTAAACCCATACACTCCAATTCACATGACCAGTTAGTGAATATTACACATGACACCCAAAAGGATATAGATAATCTTCTTTTAGGTAAGGATACCGGTTGATACTTATCAAGCCTTAGATTATGGAAAGATCATTATCTATACTAATTGTAACTAGTTGAGATTGATCCGTTGACCTTATGACTTAGTTCTGGCACGCTAGCCACTAGACTATACAGACCAGAGCCTTTAAATTATATGAAAAATTGATGTAATTAATATAACTATTTAATGTAATTATATAAATACAATTAAAATTTCAAGAATTGAGTTAAAGGCTTTTTTACTTTTGACAATATGTATAATTTATTTTATATATAAAGATAAAAAAAAGTATTTAGTTTATATATGTTTTCAAAATTCTGATTTTTGTGATATTTTATTTTTTTGGAATTTTTGAAAATTCTATATATGAAAATAAAAAAAAATATCTAATTTAATATATTTTAATCAAAAATTTTAAGTTTTAAGTAAAATAATTTTTGTTTTTTATTAAAAACTATTTTGATTTTTGAATTTCAAAATATTTCAACTTACTATAATAGACTATTTGTATACAAGTATAATTTAGTTTAATGTACTTTTAATTAAAGAATTTAACAAAAATTTTAAATTTTAATAACTTATATAATACTATTTAACATTAGTCAAATGTAAAAAAATTATTGTATTAAATGATAATTCCTATATTATATATTAGCTAAAATTAGAATTCCTATATTATAGACCAGCTAAATCAACTGTTTTATCTTATATTATAAATAAGCTAAAATCAAAATTCCTATTTGTGTTACCTATTCTTTTGTATTTCATTTATTTTGTTTTCAAAACTATATAAAATTTAATTTCAGATACAAGTATAGTTCTGATATCTAACTATTATTCAAACTATTTTATTTCATATTCTATTTGAACAATAAAATTATTTTGTTATGTTTTTTATATTTTTTATTTAGTTTTTATATTAAAGAACAACTTTAATTAATAAAAATAATATATTAATAAACAAGTTACTTTATTACAAAAATTTTAAAATTTGTGTAACAAATTATTAAAAATAATGATCATCTTGTAAATAATAAAAATTGTATTAGCAGTGATTTTTTTTTATCTTCCAGGTACAATGTTTGATTTTCAATTTCAATTAACAAAATATTCCAACTTATATAATGACAAACTTTAAGGAAGGGAATAAGCAATGAATCATTTTGTTCTTATTGAAAGATTCTTCTATAACTGATGATATTAATTTGAGAATACATTTTGATACAATTTACAAAAAAAGATCTCAAAATTAGTTAAATTCATTTTTATTTTATTTTATTTGATTATTATTATTTATTATTTCATTTATTTTTTCTTTTAATTTTCTAATTTCAATATTTTTATCATCCAAATCTTCTAAAGGAATTAAATTACAATTAAAGATATTATTAAAATTCTTACATAATATGGGAATTACTTCTCCTATTGTAATGTTATTCCCATATTTCTCATATTTTCCTGGTGGTTGCTTAAGAATTTCCTTTGTTAAAGATGTATGTTTTTTATCTTCGAGTCCACAAGGAATAATGTGATCAAACCAACTTAAATCATTATTACAATTTAAGGCAAATCCATGGGATGTCATAAACCTTTGAATATGAATACCTATTAATTATAATTATTGGTATTGTATTTAAATTATAATTATTTGTATTGTATTAAATTACATTAAATTAAAATCATAACAATTTAATAAATTTTTTTACCTATTGCACAAATCTTTTCATTGTCAATCCAAACTCCCGTGTGTTCAGTTGTCTGGGCATTAATATTAAAAGTTTCACATGTTTTAATAATTACATGTTCAATTGCACAAACATAATTTCGGACAGAAAGCTAATAAAATATTATTTAATATTATTATTAAATATTTATTAATTTAATTATTATAAATAACATTAAAATTTGACGTTATTATTTTAAAAATATTAAAAATGAATAAAGTTTACCCCAAAATTTCGTAAATTTAATATTGGATAACCAACCAACTGTCCCGGACCATGGAAGGTTGTTTGACCTCCACGTAATGTCTACAAAATTAAATATATATTAAGTAAGATAAAAGACAACAATAACAATAATAATAATAACAATAATAACCTTATAATATTCAGCACCTAATTTCCTTAAACGTTGCACCTCTTTATTATCATTATTGTTTAAATCTCTTCTTCCCGTAGTATATGTTGGGGGATGTTGTAATAATAAAAGGAAATCTGAAGAAATACTATCCAATTTACTTTGAACAAGAAATCGTTGGAGATTTAAAGCTTTAATATAAGAAATTTGTGAAAGATAAATACAAGGAACAACAACTGGTCGAATTGATGACATTTTATTTTATTTTTAACTAATTATTTTATGTAATTTCTCGCCACGTATTATAAAAAACCCTTTATTCTATTTTTAGGAATTCATACGCAGATTTATCCAAATTCAGGATTAGAGGAATCTATGTGAACATGATTCCATAGGAATTATTAATCCGATTGATAACAAACAAACAATTAAATTTTCCGATTGATACAATAAATTAATTAATTAATACATTTGTAATATCGATAATTTAGATAAGTATTGTAGAAATTTATATTTAAATTGTCAAAAAAATTTTATTTCTCTAAAAAAAAAAATGTCAAATTTATCTTTTGATGAGCAAGTCGATTTTCCTCCATCACCACACAGTAATCAAAGTACTGAACTATTAGAAAATAACGATGAAATATCCGAAACAGCCCCTTTAATACCTATTACAAAGAAGAAAGATACACCTTTACCGAAATCTCAATTATTTATATTGTCGGTAGTTGTATCCTGCGAACCAATAAATTTTACAATTCTATTGCCTTTTGTATATTTCATGGTATGATTTCTCATTTTTTTATATTCTTTATATATATATATATATTTATTTATTTATATTACGTATATTATATATATTATATACGTTAATAATGTAAATACATTTAATATTGTTAGGTAAAAGGATTTAATATTACAGATGATGAAAAGGAGATTGGAAGATATGCTGGATTAATAGGTACTAATAATAATTAATGATAATTAATTAATTAATTATTAAATTAATAATAACCATTATAATTATTTTATACTAATTCATGTGATTTATGATGACCGTAATTTTATATTCAAATATCAGCTTCATCTTTCTTTTTTGCCCAATTTTGCTGTTCAATATTTTGGGGAAATATGTCAGATAAATATGGTAGACGTCCAATTCTATTATTTGGATTGTTTGGAAATGTGATAGGAATTACTTTATTTGGTCTTAGTCGCTCATTAATATGGGCAATTATAACTAGATCATCTTGTGGTATATTAAATGGTAATATTTTTATTCTTTTATTTAATATTATTGATTATATCAAAATTCTATTAAAATATTAATATTTTAATTTACTGAAATCATTATCACATATATAATATATTATATATATTAGGAAATATTGGTGTGGCAAAAAGTATGCTTGGTGAAATTACAGACAAGACTAATCAAGCTAAAGCGTTTTCTCTATTTGGATTTTGTTGGGGATTTGGCACTATTAGTAATATATTAATTAAATAATTATATTTATTATGTTTTCTTATCTTTTTATTATATGACATTATTTCATTATTATTATTCATTACTACTATAGTTGGTCCTATGATTGGCGGTTTCCTTTCTAATCCCGCTGAACAATTTCCTTCGATTTTTGGAAATTGGACTTTTTTTAAAATATATCCTTATTTCCTCCCTTGTGCTTTTGCAGGGTTATTCAGTCTTACTGGTTTTATTGTGGGTTACTTCAAGTTAATTGAAACTCATCATCCAAATTCTCAACGTAATCAAGATATTGAGCAAAAATATTCATCACAACAACAACAACAACAACAACCACCAACACCACGGAAATCACCACAATCACCACAATCACCACAATCACCAGAAATACAACAATCATCACAATTACAATTACAGCAATCACCATCATCACAACCATTATTGCAGTCATTATCACAGCAGTCTTCATATGGCACAATTAATCAATCAAATTGTGATTCAAGCGAAACAACAACAACAACAACAACAACAACTACTACTGATGATAATGATAATAATAGTAATAATAATAATGATGATGATCAAAGGATACAAAAAAACGATGAAAAAACCAAAATAACCAAAATCACTCGAATTGCTATCGTTAGTCATTGTATATTATGTTTCCATGCCATTTTTTTTGACGAGGTTGTTACCCTTTACGCTGTAACTAAAATTTATGATGGAGGTCTTGGTTTTAGTGCCGCAAAATTGGCTTTAACTTTAGCTTGTATGGGTTGTGTTCAACTCTTCTCTCAATTTATTATTTATCCATGGCTTGCTCGTAGAATTAATATTGCCAAAACATATCCTTTTATTTGGTTCTCTTATATTCCTATTTATTTATCATTCCCTACCATCAATAAATTTTATATCTTTTTATATGATAAGAAAATAGAAACTGCTGACACAATAATTTGGTATATTTTATTACCCTTTCTAACAATCAGATTTTTTCTAAATGTTTTTTCGTATACATCAAGCATGTTATTTGTAAGTTCAATTTATTTATTCAATTTATTCAATTTATTTAATTTATTTAATTTACTTAATTTGAAAATTTTTAATTTATACATTATATTTTTAGATTAATAATTCTGCTACTCCGAATATATTGGGTACCGTTAATGGAATAGCTCAAGCTTCTGCCTCCTTTGTTCGAACTGTAGGTCCTGCACTGGGTGGCTTCCTTTGGTCTTGGTCATTAACAAATAATTTAAGTTTTCCCTTTGATAATTATTTCGCTTTTGTTGTATTATCCATAATTTCACTTATCGGTGGATATCAGAGTTCTTTTATACCCCATAATTTGAGTGCCGCGAATAGTTCAGATAAATAATTAACAAATGAGTTACACGAGTGATTTAAAAGAGTAATTTCATAGATTCAAAAATTCAATTAGATACAAAATTATATCTATTTATATTTAAATATAAATAGAAATAGAACACTTACATACTAATTGAATTTCTTCTTGCTTGGTACGCTTTTCACAATTTCGTCTGTAAAATTGACAAATAAAGGAACTTGTCTGAAGTTCGTTTGTTTCCCAAGTTTTTTGTATCTTTAAAAGGTGAAATATTTGGTGTGTGCACTTTGGCACTAGTAATGTAGAAGTAACTGAGTCATGAATCTGTATGTCTTCTTCGCTGCGCTGTGCAGAGGATGTTTCGTGTACCCAAAGTTTGTGTCGTTCATTACATTCAACACGTCTATACTTTTACTTCAGATCAATTTTGTGACAAAGGGTGCGATTTTCTACTATGACGTTTTTAATATAATTCGAAAACTCTCATTTTAAGCTTCGCTATGGTAGTTAAACATCGGAATTTATGATAATGGAACACCTACTAGAGATATAGAGATACTTTGGTGAAAATAAACTTAAGATTTATTGATTATTCAGAAAAAAAAAAGGAAGGAATAAATTAAGCAAATATTTCAAAGCTTACTTCAACGCGTCATACCTATTGATTTTTATTAAATATGAGATAAAACTAAATGTAGTCAACCAGATATCTTTGGGAGAAATAAAGCATTTACATACAAAAATTCGAAAAAAAGTACATTCTAAATAAATTATATCTCATATAAATAAATAAAATATGAATAAGTTATAGAATTTGTAATATTTGATATCTGATTTGGAATTGACAAAATGGATTTCTGGAACACGAAACTAACTAAGAGAATTAAAGAATTTGTAATGGGTCCCAGTAGGTGTGCGAGGCCCTCTTTCCAAGCATTGGCCGCAGGGGGTCCATATAAATGGGTAGTTCATACGGACATAAGAATCAAAAGAGGATTACAGAAACTGTAATGGGTCCTAGCAGGTGTGTGAGGTCCTCTTTCCAAGCATCGGTCTGCAAAGGTCCATATAAATGGTGGGTCCATACAAGAATCACCTAGCAGTCCCCATTCTTCCAACTTGTTTTTGGTCAACTTAAAAAAGACGCGTCCATTGACTTTTTTTATCGCGAATAATATTCAAGTCCTCGTCGAATTCCAAGTTGCATTTTGTAAAAAATCGACACGATCACTAACAGCCCTTTTTTTTTTAATAATAAATTGAAAAAAAATGTGATGTTCGCATAATTTATTGGAAAAATTCGAGAAGTTTAATCTCCATTGGAGATAAACCAAAAGCAACCAGTTGTTTGAACCAGGTTTATAAAATATTTTTATTTTGTCTACGAAAGGATATAAACAAAGAAAAAAAAAATTAAATCGATATTACATAACCAAAAAAAATAAGGAAAACACCTTGAGCATAGCTAATATTATATAAAAATAATATAAATAACAGTTATAATAATAATTATTTCATTAATATCGAGCTTCATTTTATCTTGTATATAAAAATTCGATGTATAAATTTTAGGGTTGTACCAAAAATATTAATCAATATGCCAGAAATATGGACCTTATTTATTATTCTATTAATCCATTAAAATTAAAGATGAAGTTCATATGTTTATTTTTCACTGTTTACTTTATTGTAAAATATAAAATCAAGAACTATTTAAAGTATAGGTTTATAAAACAGTGTTATCAGAAGATAATTGTTTTGACCAATCTCATTGCGTATTACCGATCACGTGATATGACATTCTGAAAGTCATGTGACTATATATAAAACCACAAAAATTTCGGACTTCAGTTGCACCATAGTACCTAGCATATCTTCCAATCTCCTTTTCATTACCTAAAGAAAATTAAAAGTATTACATATCGCATTACATTATTAACATAATAAATATATAATATATATATAAAGAATATAAAGAGTATAAAAAGCGAGATTATACCAAAAATCATTGATTCGCATAATACAACTACAGACAATATAAATAATTGATTTTTGTATCTTCCTCTTTGTAAAATGTATTAAAGGGGCTGTTTTCAGATATTTCACCGTTATTTCTAATGATTCAACATTTTGATGGTCTGGATAAATTTTTAGAACTTGAAGATTGATCTTTTGAATCTGTTGAATCTGTTGAATCGATTGTTTTTTTTTTCGAAGAAAATCGACTTGCAAATCAGAAGATAAATTTGACGTGATATGACCTAATCCTAGTTGAGGTTACACTAATCACGAATAATGCTCACGTGGATTCTAATCCTTGGATTAAAATAACTAGTATATCAAAGCTTTAAATCTCCAACGATTTCTTGTTCAAAGTAAATTAGATAGTACTTCAGATTTCCTTTTATTATTGCATCCCCAACATAACTACGGGAAGAACAGGAAGAAGAGATTTAAACAATAATGATAATAAAGAGGTGCTGAATATTATAAGGTTATTATTGTTATTATTATTGTTGTCTTTATTTTCTCCCCCTTTTTTTATCTTTCTTTATATATTTTATTTTTGTAGACATGGTCCGGGACAAACTTTATTCATTTTATATTTTTAAAAATAATAACGTCAAATTTTAATGTTAATAATTAATAATATTATATTAAATAATATTTTATTAGCTTTCTGTCCGAAATTATGTTTGTGCAATTTAACGTGTAATTATTAAAACATTTGTGAAACTTTAATAATTAAAATTGTTAAATTATAATTTGTTCAATACAAATAATTATAATTAATAGGTTTATAGAATTACGTGAAATTGTAATAATGGTTTGATTACATTATTCCCTATGAATTCAAAGATAAAAAACATACACCTTTAACAAAGAGCAACCACTAGGAAAAAGAATTTTAATAATGTCTTTAATTGTACTTTAATTTCTTTAGAAGGTTTGGATGAAAATCATAATAAATCAAATAAAATGAATTTAACTAATAAATCCATATAAGTTGGGAACACTTTGTTAATTGAAATTCGCCTGAAATAAAAAACTGCTAACCATTTTTGTTATATCACAAGATGATCATTATTTATACATTCATTTGTGAATGACGTTTCAATATTTGGTTGGCTCTTTTTTATTATTATAAGAAATGTAAAATTTGTCTTTCACATTTTTTTTTTTTTTTTACAAAAATGAAGTCACCTAGTTTGTCCTTCATAGTATTAGTGTTAATAGTGTTGAATTTTTGTCTTATACACAATACATCTGCTACCACCGAAAATGAGATCATTATTCCGCAATATTGGATAAATACAAAAATTATTCGTACGATAGACATATCAACGGTTGTCGTGAGAGAAAATATTGCAATTATGGCCAAAAATGTTCATAATGAACCGTTGAGAGAATATTACTTTCCAATAAATGAAAAGTTTGATGTTCATTTATCCTATATCACAGTTAAAGAGAAAAAGACCTTAAAAATTTATAATGTCGAGAAGGCTGATTTTGATTCCTTCAAGTGGGTACCTAATATGAATATGATCAATATTTATTAAAATATACAAATGATAAAAAAAGTGATAAAATAAAATATATTAAGGAATGATCTAATAAAGTTAAGAACCTTTTGTTTCTTTAAAATACTGATTCGACAATAATGTTGGACAAAAAAAAATTAATATTATAGGCGTATTCAATTTTATAAAATAACCTTTGATCAAGATATCGATCCTCAAGGAAAAATTATATTTACCGTGTCAACAGCTTTCATTCATATGTTGACACCATATCCAGCTGAGATTCCACAATCGGGAAGACAAAATTTATTATTTCGTGAAAATCTTTATGGAAATAGTGTTTACATTACTGAACAACAAAAAACCACTATAAAGTAAGTTAAAAGAATTATACTTTAAGGATAAATTTTATTTTCATTAAAATTTTATTTTTATTTTATTTTATTTTATTTTTTTATATTTAGTCTTTCTACAGCTAACATAATTAGCTACACCCAAAAACCGGGTGTGAGTCGTGATGGTAAAAAGATTATATATGTATTCGATAAAAAAAAACCTGATGACTATGAAGAACTTTTAGTTCATTATGAATTTCAACAGGCATTATTAACAATCAAAGGTGCAAGACGGGATTTTGAAATTAGTCATTGGGGTAATAATTTAGCAGTTGAAGAACATTATAATTTAACTCATGATGGAGCAAAGTAAGTTTTACCTACCTTTGGAATGTTTTTTAATATATATATATATATATATTATATATCTCTAATATATCTTTGAATAAATAATTATAATATTAATTATATTTAATTATATTAGACTTAAGGGACAATTTTCTCGCCTGGAATACCAACAAACTGTCTATACACATCACGAAACTACAATGGCTCGTGACTTTTTATTGGTTTTACCAGGTCACGCTTCGGATGTATATTATAGAGATGAAATTGGCAATGTATCAACTTCTCGTTTAAGAAAGGAACGAGAGAGAACTATTTTGGAATTCAAGCCACGCTATCCATTACTTGGTGGATGGAATTATACATGGTATTATGGATATAATGTTCCTCTCGGAGAATTTTTGAAATATAATCATCAAACTGGAAGATACATTTTTAAGGTACCTTCTTTTATTAATCCATTTCATAATGCGGTTTTTGATAAGGTGCAAGTTAGAATTATTTTGCCGGAAGGTGCAAGGTATTATATAAATTATTTATGAACACCATTTTTATTTTTTATTTTTTTATTTTCAATATATTTTATTTATTTATTTCTTTTTTTTTTCAAATATTTCCAGTAATGTTAAGGTTGAATTACCTTTTCCTGTCAATAAAGAAACTCATACCGTCCATAAGACATTTTTTGACTCTAAAGGACGATATCTTATTGTTCTTGATAAATATAATGTAATTCAAGAACATTCAAGCCCTTTTCTGGTTTCTTATGAATATGATACTATAGAATTATTGAGGAAGCCATTAGTAGCTTCAACTTTCTTTTTCTGTGGATTTTTGTTAAGCATGGTGTATTCTAGAATGGAATTTAGAATTGGAAAATAAAAAAATGTTGGGCAATGGTATTAAATTATTAAAAAAAATTTTCATTGGAAAATTTAGAATTAATTGTTCATATCATTTACTATTTTGAGTTATCACATGATTATAATGCAATGCGATCATATTAGGCAATGCAATGATTATTATTTAATATAAATGACGATCCAAAATGGTTTCTTTTTTCTTCTAACGATTGATATTCTATTATCACGTGTAATTACACGACTTATTTATAAGAAATCACGTGGATATGTCGTTATATATATTTATATTATTTATTAAATTTATCCGAAATTATTATCCGTTGCTGTTTCTAGCATTATTTAACTTCTAGCATTATTTTTGTTTTTGGGATTATTCTTTTGCTTAATATGTTAGGTTGTTTATCAAAGTATACCAGTCGCGTAAGTTTTTTTTTCAAATATTTCTCATTCCCCTGAGATTTTTATAAAAATTCGTGATTTTAAGACAATTTTATTTTATGCATGGCGTAATATTGATAAATTGATCGGTTAATTAAGCAAAAAATGATCGGTTAATTTATAGATCCTTATTTTTTTTATGTTGGTTCAATTCACGTCTTTATGAAGTTAAGACGAATCTTACCAAATTTTACTTTTATTATTATCAGCTAATAAGCAGCTGAAAGTGCATTTCTGATAGTTAAATAATTTATTAATTAAGCTTCATAGTTAATTCTTTTAAAAAATGGGAAATTTTTTCGATAGCACTACGCCACATAGTCCTGCCAATCGGTTACACAATACTCGTGAAAATGAAAGCAGAATGTGCATGTCATCATCTTGAAGCGCGTTTTTTTATGCAAAAAAAATTCCCAACAAAGAATTTTTTCAAATCACCTGCAATTTACCATGAATTTTCAGCCACTTCCCAATATTTTAACCTTATAAAGTATTTTTGTACCAATTGTGACCATCAGCTTTTTTTTTTATATCTCCTTATCTTTCTGTACCCTAAATTTATTAAACAAAGAACGCTTACAAAAGGTTCTTCACATTCAACGAACAAAAACTTAACGAGAGGCGAAATCACTATTATGTCGGCTCGAGATACCCAATATACTTATTCTTATACTACTCCGAAAAATCACCAAAAACTTCACCAAAACGCCCAGACATCCCTTCACCACCAATACACTCAACAACAAAATCAGTTCACGACTACTCAAGATAGTTTATTAGGACAAACAACTTCGGGAACAAATTCTCAATACACGTCTCCACATAACCATTCAATTGCACAAAATAATTCTGGAATTCAACCTCGTCGTTTTAAGACTTCTCAACACACTTCAATTTCTTCACAAACTTCAACTACACCAAATAGACAATACACGACTTCTCAACACCCTTCGATCGCTCCGCCGACTTTAGACCATCCAAATTCGCCTTTAAACTCTACACAATGTTTATCCTCTCCGAACAATGTAACTACCATGACTTCGTTACCTAACTCTTTACCCACACCTCCAACTATCCCTGTTGGTCTATCTAGTCCTAGTTCAGGGACTACCACGGTGACGAATTTTGAATTACAAGACGTTATCGCGCAATTTCAAACACAACCCGAACTTTTGAAACTTATTCTTACTTCAAAGGTTGAAGAAGATAAAAGAAGAGCCGAAGAAGCAAAATTGCGCGTTAGAGAGTTAGATTTAATGTTATCAGAACGTAACAGACAAAGAAAAAGTGCTGAAGATATAAAACACAATGGAAACGAACAAGTTAATAATAATGATATGGATTATGATAATAACGGTTGGCTTTTCAATTCTTTTTATTATTATTTATAATGAATAAGAAATTTCAAATGTAACTAAATTTTCTAAAATTTTTTAATATTTTTAAAATTTATAATGTTAGACCATTCAATTGGAGCGTAAGTTAATTTTAATTATTAATTAATCACGTTGATCATTTCATTTTATATGGATGACTTCCAAATCTAGTTAGTTAATGTAACTTTTTGCGTAAAATTAATTTTTATCTTTATGCGTCGTTTAATAATAACAAAAATAATAATTATTATTATTTTAAAATCTCACTCTTCAATTCTCCTTCTCATTTCAATATCTTCTCATTATCCTAACCTTTATCTACTACGCCTCGTCTAAAATCTAACACCAAAAGGTAGTCCGACGACATCACAACTTCAATTAAACCCACAAGATTTATTAACCTCATCGAATAATCAAATAATTACATCTCGAATTCATGATCAAGAAGGAATAAGGTCAATTGAAAATGAAGAAAATAATAATAATACAACCTCAAATAAACGTAGACGTAAACGTCGTGAGATGCTTCCTGTGACAGTGATTATTGAAACTAAAGAATCTCCCTATGTGGACGATTATTTATGGAAAAATAATGGAAATACTACACAGAAAAAGACTGGAAACAAAAGTGTTTATTTTAAGTGTTCCAATAGTAATAAAGGTTGTCCAGTTAATAAAACCGTGACTGAGAAAGAAGGCGGTTGGACCATCAAATATCGTGGTCATCATTTAGAAGAATGTGGTAAAATCAAACGGATAGTTCAGAATTAGCAATTCTATTTAGGTACTACTACGTGCAGGTCTCGTGGTATGATTGATTCAAAAAGTATTATTATTATATAAACATTTCTTTCCTTTCTGTTCTTATTTTTATTCTTTTGTTGATATTTATTCTTTATTTTATTTATTTATTTATTTTATTTATTTATTTTATTTATTTATTTTATTTATTTATTTATTTTATTTATTTTATTTATTTATTTATTTTATTTATTTATTTATTTTATTTATTTATTTATTTTTTCGTAAATTTATTCTTATCAAAAAAAATTCAATTGGTTTAATTCATTTGTTAGAAATATTATGGATGCTAGGAATGCTAAGAAAAACTTTCAAATATATGCAGATTGAATTGCATTAGTTATTAATATAAAAATAAGTGAGGTAATAGAAATATATATTAAAAATAATAGTAGACTTGAAGAAATCAAATTATTTTTCCTCTCTTTTTTTTTCTACAACTTTTGTTTTTAATTCATATTTATTCCCCTTTTTTTATTCATTCTTTCATTTAGCTTCAAAAAAAAAAATCTCAATAATAAATTTATTGAGAATATACCTTCGGAATAAGTTAAGAATAAGTTGAGATTTTGATTCTATTTTCGGCTTTTGGAATTTACGCGACTATTATTAGAAAATTTGGTGACCATTTCGAAACATAAAAAGATTGATTTATAAATTTCTATTCTTCGGGATAAAAAAAAAAGATGCGATTCGATAAGAGAAAAAATTTGAGAAAATATTTTTTTGAAAAAAAAAATTACTTTCATTTAAAATTTTCAATTAAGTCATTTTATACTACGAAATTTCTTTGACAACAATTATTTATTATTACTGTAATTATCAATGCCACAGAATTTGTAATATTTAAAATATACGACTACAAAATGTAGAATATGATTTAAATTATTTAAATTACAATCTCAACAGTGTTAACAATATATTAATAATATATTCGGCGTTATTATTATTATTATTATTGTAAAAAAAAAAAAAAATAAAGTTTTCTAATTTCCCGAAGTTTAATATGTAAAAATAAATTTTTTAAGCCGAGAATATTACTAACAAATTTTTTTTTACTTTAATTTTTTTATTTCATTATCTCACGTGAGATTCATCAAATTTCTAAATTCAATTTTAATAGTTAATCCCCGAATAAATCTTGTATATTGTTCGTCAATTTGAGATAGTTGTTTTTTGACTATTCCAGGTTAGTGTTCAAATAAAAACTGAAAAAGGTATAATTCATTGACAAAAATGTCAAAAATGTCTAAAATATCCGAATGTATTATTATAAATAAGGAAGAACGATTCTTGACACATGACTAATACAATGGTTATCAATTCACTTTTGTAAAAAGAATTAGTATATTTATATGAAATATATTGTTTTTGAATATTTCTTCTATATAATCACATAATTAATAAAAACATAAAAATGTGATTGTTAAGAGGTTGGATATATAAGATTTAAATTGATGATGATTACACAGAGGTTTTATATGATAATTTATATATTTTGTATGATAGAATTTTGTTTTCTGGAAGAAAAAGCTAACTTCATTTTTGGTTTAAACCAAAAAAAAAAAACAATAATAATTTACACTTTAAAACATTTTTGATAAAACCTATCTATCTTTAATTTATCTTTACCTTTATAGAAATTAGACAAAGGAAATAAATATTTACCTTGAATGAAGAATGAAGAATGCATCTTAAAAATTTTGAAAAAAAAACATTAAAAAATATGCTTAAAAATTTTTATTATTTAAAAAGATGAGATGCATAATAAACTTTATTGTGATGAGCAGTGATTTATATGATTTATATGTTTATGATATTATTGGAATTTTATTCATTGTCTTGTTTAGATATCAATATAAATAATTTTATTTTTTTTTAAAAAATAAATAAATAAATAAATTAATTAATTATGATTCAATAAGAGAAGCCTTTTCTTTAAATAATTTTTCTGCGCCAATCCATACACTTGCAGTATTACGCTCAGATAATTGAAGTAAACTGGGAAGTAAATCTCGTGAAAATTGTTCACTACTTTCTCTTGGTAATAAAGTTGGTAAATGGTCAATGGAAATAACTTCAAGAGGATGAGGATTTCTATAAATAAAATAATAAATTTTTTAAATAAATTTTTAATAAATAAATTTTTTAACATATATAAAATAATTAATTAAAAAACTTACTTTGTTTTCACTTCAACTGTTGGATTATCGAATGTAGAATTGACAGTATAAATTGGAAGTGGATTATTAGGATTAGTGGTGTCACAACTTACATCTACAATGACTGAAAGTTTTCTTGGATCGTCAAGCAATTCTTTTGTAATAAATGGTGGTATCTTTTGATTAAGATATATGCAATTAACAAATATATCAGATTCCAAAATTTTAAGAAATGGTCCTCCATCTTTGGTTTCTTCAATATCCCATTTAATAATATTTTCTCTAAAAATAAAATAAAATATAATTTAAATAATTTTAAAAATTATTAATATTTATAGAAAATTATTATTATTATTATTATATCTGTTATGACTGACTTACTCATGAATTCCTACTTTACGAGCAAAATCACTTGCACCTATGCCACATCTACCAAGAGCACCCATGATCATAACACGTGGTAAATATCCTTTTTGTAAAACTAACAAAATAAATATTTATATATAGTTATTTGTAAGTTTCAATTAATTTTTTTTTTTAAAAAAAAAGTTGAAAAACATTTAATTTCTTACTTGCATCTTTTAATCTATTTTTTACATATGAAATTAATTTATCTTCTGTTGGATAAAATCCAACTGATGGATATTTTTGTTTTGGATTAATAATTTGTTGAGACCATACATCAATTCCCAAAGCTGTACCCGCGAAACCCGCATGATAACCAAACGCAGCTACACGACGACCTAAAACGTACCAAAAAATAAATATATATTAAAAATTCAGAAATAATTTGATCCTGAAATATTATATTATATTTACCTTTTTCATCAGTTAGAAATTCCATATCAAGAATTTTTCCATTACCCTTAACAAATCTTTTTATAATATCTTGCCAACCAGCTTGATTTTTATAACAATGCGCAAAAAAAATATGTTCATGTGATAACGGCGAATCATCATTCTCTGGAAGTTCTTTAAGACCAATAATGTATGTATCTAATGGTGCGGTTTTCCAAGTTCCAGTAGGGACTAAAACACAACCAACTCTTTTTTTTTTTTTTGTCATATTTATAAAATAAAATTGGATACTTAAAATTCAAGTTAAAAAGATTAAGTTTATTATCTAATAAATTTACTTTTCAAATTCTTCATCCTCGAATATTCTTTCTGTAGACCTTTCAACCGTAATTTGGAATCCTTTAAAAATATATATATATATATATATAAAGCAACGGTCAGTGGATTTGTAAATTTATACCAATTCAAAAAGAATGTATAAATGTATAGGTTACCTTTTTGAAGTAAAGTTTGACATGTTGAAGGTGTCAACGCTGATCGATGCTCGTTCGGCTTAGTTTCTGCTCGCAACCATAATTTTACCATTTTCAACTAAAAAGTTCGATATGTGAGATTAGATGATCTATAAATTCTGTCATAACATGTACGTGGCGCAGCGGACTTTCAAATAAAAAAATATATTTTTGAGCCAATCAATTAAAGAAAATTACGGATCATGTGTTAACAACTATATAAGATTCGCGTGTTGTCATTCCTGTTTCGTAAATAAACAAAAAAAAAAGGACTTTACTTTACCTTACTTGTACTTACTAGTCTTTCTTTAAAAATATATTTTGAAATGTCTGCGAACAACCGTAAAGCCTCTAGACTTCCTACAAGTCGTATTCAGTTCGTTCTAAATTCTCCACGTAAAATTAAAAATGCCCAGGCACCTTTAAGAAAACTCGTGGGAACTACTGAAGGAAAACGTCCTGGTGCCATAAATAAGAATTCCTCATTTTCTTTAAAAAAGAAAAATACCGCTTCTATTATTGGAAATAAAAATGATAAAAATGTGCGTTCGATTCCTCAAAAAGCATCCCTATCAAATGTTCGTTCAATCCCTTTTGAATCGAGTTACACTAAAAAAGCACCTTCAACAAGTGGTTCATTCAAAAACGTTCGTAGTCGTATTCAATACCCACCCCCTCCACCCCCTCTACCTTTACCACCCTCCCCAACCAAAATCTTAAAAGAACAGAGCGCTGCACTTAAAGCTCACCTTCAAGAGTTATATAAAGAAAAAGAATATTATGCCACAATAAACGCACAAAAACAAAATGAAATCCAAGAAATTCGACGCGCACAAGAAGAATACATTGAAGAAATTGAAAACAAAAATCAAAAAATTATTGAAGTACAAACTCATAGGAAAGATCTTGAAGCCGAAATTGAAACTGTAATGCAACAAACCGATATTTTGTTAGTCGAGAAAAAAGAATTGATTTCTAAAATTAACTCTCATAAAAATGAATTAGAAGAAAAACAGAATACTATTAAACAACAAGCTGAAACAATCGAAAGTAATTCAAATCATATTCTAGAATTGACAAGCAATTTACAAGATCGTGAACGTGAAAGACGGGATCTTCATAATCTCCTTCAAGATCTTAAAGGAAATATTCGTGTTTTTTGTCGCGTACGTCCACCTCTTCCATCAGAAAGTAATGATCTTGCTATTTTAAAATTTCCTAAAGAGTTACCAGTCAATAAAAGAATTTCTATCGCTTCAATCAAAATTAATTATTTGGGAAAGAAAAGAGAACAATTTAAAGATTATGAATTTGATCAGGTGTTTGATCATGAAGCAACACAAAAAGATGTATTTAATGAAGTTTCTCATATAGTTCAATCAGTTGTAGATGGATATAATGGATGTATTTTTGCTTATGGACAAACTGGAGCAGGAAAGACTTATACGATGGCAGGTCCCAATGATCCAACCCCTGAAACTGAAGGAATGATTCCTCGTGCAGTTGGTTTGATTTATGATCTTATGCAAAATCTAAAGGCACAACGTTGGAAATTTAAAATGGAAGGACAATTTATAGAAATTTATAATGATTCTATTCGTGATTTACTTGCTATTAATCCTTCATCATCGAGTAACATAAAATATAAAACTGCTCATGACGAGAGTACAGGAACAACCCAAATTTTAAACGCAAGGACTGGTAAAGTATTTAAAAATTTTAATCAATCAATCAATCAATCAATCAATTAAATTTAAGTAATACATATATTTGTTTATCATTTTCTACTTTATATAGTGAATCTTGATTCTCCTGAAACTCTTAATCGAGTTTTAAAGACGGCCACCCAAAATCGGGCGGTAGCTGCGACAAAATGTAACTCACGTTCTTCGCGTAGTCATAGTGTGTTTATGATTCGATTAACTGGAACCAACGAAAATTTAAATGAAACCAGAGTTGGATCATTAAATTTGATTGACTTGGCAGGTTCAGAACGACTCTCAAAATCTGAATCTAAAGGGAATCAATTACAAGAAGCCAAACATATCAACTCAAGTTTAAGTCATCTTAAAACAGTTATTGAAGGAATTAGAAAAGATTCAAGTCACGTAAACTTCCGTGATTCACCATTAACGTGGCTTTTAAAGAATTCTCTTGGTAAAGTTCAAATTTTTAATGTTAATCATTTTCATTTGGTTTTATGGGTATTAATAGGTTTTAATACAATTGTTCTTTATTCTTATTTAAAATCTTTAAATTAAAATGGTTATAAAAAAAAAAAATAAATAAAAAAAATAAAAAAAAATTCCAAAAATTTTTATAAGGTGGGAAAGCCAAGGTTCTGATGCTGGTTAATATCTCTCCGTTGGAATATTCTCGATCAGAAACAGAAAGTAGTCTTGATTTTGCTACGCATGTAAACTCGACGCATGTAGGCAGTACAATCAGAAAGAATTGATTAGAAGAATTACGTTCACACATTTATGTGGTTACACGTATAAATGGATAAATGGTTTAGATTATTTTTCATTTATAATTCTAAATAAAAATTTGTTTAACTACTGCGCCGGAAAATGAATGCGCATATTTATTATAATGGGATGAGATTATGAATTCTTTTTTTTTAATACAAAATAATACAATTTGGCAAGAGATTTTTTTATTATTATTATATATGCGCCACGCAGATATTTGTAGATTTTCCAATTTCCTGATTTGGGGATTAAATTTCTTTTGAGTTAAAATCAATGTAAATTCTCCCCCCACTACCCCCACTAAATTGCTGTACAATTCGTTAGGAAGTTTATTCTTAGAAAATAAACCATCATTTTGCTATTGAAGTTATTTCCTTCTTTAAAATTTACAAAATCATTTTGTCAACTTTTCCTTTATCTTCCCTATCACAAGTATCATAAATATATCTTCTATTATTTTTTTTTATTGTTCGGAATATCGTACAAATAAAGAAGATACTCAGGTGTTTAAATGGAGATCTCGCTGTAAGGTTTTTAACTTCCGTCATTTACTAAATACACAAAAGCAAACTTGATGCCGCATGTATGACATGCACAGAACTCCCTCCTCGTCTTCCTCACAATTATCAGCTTCCCCTCCTTCATCACTTCCAAATCTCCCTAGACAATCAAAGGCAGACCAGATCGTTCAGGTTTGTCTTTTTTTTTTAGAAGATCGCCACTTATCACTTCTTTTACCACAAAGTCTTTTGACTTTAATACTTTATCTTGTTTCAAAAAAAAAAAAAAAAAAAAAAAAAAAAATCTAATAATTATAATTTTATTTATTAAATTAATTATGTCAACAATTTTGAAACCAGAACTTTTATACCAAAGTTACTCAAATAATCACTCAGGCGCGTCTCGTAGAATATGATATACAAAATAGTGGAAAAACTTCACAAAATACTAATTTGACAATACGCCAGACAACGTATCATTCAAAAAAGCCCAATAAATGGGTAGGTTAATATTTTATATTTTAAAATAATTAAATAAATTTTATTATACTTTTTTAACATATTTTAACATTCTTTAAGAATTTAAGAATTCAATTATTTCTAAATAAATAGATTGTAAATAATTTTAAATAACTTTTCAAAATGAATTAAGTGATTTATAGATCTAAAATTTTTTTTCTTTTTTTTTTTTAAAAAAAAAAAATATAAATTTTTATAAAAATTTATTAAATATATTAAATATAAAAAATATAGTTCAATCTAGAGTTATGGGATTCAGATGTCTATAAAGATGATCTCAAATATTGGCGTCAAATGGCACAACCTTATATGGGAACCTCCCCATTGCCTATGAATATAGAATTTTATTTGGATACTTCAGAGTTGAGCAAAAATCAGGTTTTAGTGTTAACAGATGAAATTTTAAGAAGACGAAGGATAGATTTAAATAATTTAAATGATAGTAATGGTTCAAATTCAAATGGAAATAATAACAAAATCACAAAGAATATCATGTTGGAAAGTTGGCAGTTGACTTTAAGGTAGCATGATTTTTAAAAGTTTGTATATATATTCGTAACTTTTTTTTTCTTTTTTTTTTTTAAAAAAAAGTTTGTTTTTGATTTGTATAAAAAAAATTCATTTTTTTTTCTCATTATTTTAAATTTTAAATAAATGATTTTTTTTTTTTTTTTAAAAAAAAAAAAAAATCAATTATCATCAATAAAGTCATCCATTACCTGACCCACTGCCAGATCTCCCTGTTGTCTATAAGAAATCTATTGCATTTTTTCGTTCTTTGTATGCTTTTGTTAGGTTATTACCATCTTATCGATTATACAAGAGAATAAGAAAAATGAAATTTAATTCTTTGAAAATTGGGTATAGATTTGTATTACCATCCAATAATAACACCCAACGTGATATTGGAATAGGTAATTATTTATTTTTATTTTTATTTTTATCTTATTTTATTTTATTTTATTTACTAATATTTTAATTTCTCGGTGATTTTTTAAAGATATACCAATAATAGAGGGAGAAACTAGATCTACTGCATCAGAGTTCAGATTTAGTCCTATTGACACACCATTAGGGTAAGATTAATAGTTAATAAATTTAAAATCTAAAATATAATTAATTAATTAATTAATTAATTAATTAAATTCTATAGTGTCCTAGCTCTCAAAGTTTTATATCGAACAAATTGTGAATTTCACGTTGATGAACCTGAAACATTATTAAGTTCAAAATTCATATTTGACATGGACGAAAATTATTTTACACCCACAATGGCACGTTATTATCAACAAGAGCAACAACAAAAGCCAGAGAAAGATGAAAGACGTAATAGTGTTCCAACCAGAATGGATGTTTGTATTGTAATCTAAATAAATTATAATTTATAAATTTTTAATTTTATATATATATATATTTTAATCCCATTTTAAATATATTTTAATCACGTTATTGCTAAAAAAAAATAATAAATTATAGACTCCTCCTACTGGATTCAATTATTTGAGTTCATCTCCACAATTTACAAATAGTCATTTAATTGGTGGAACTTTGCCTACTAGATCACTTAGTTCTCCAAGATCAAATCCCGATCTCCATAATGATCTTACTTTTCCTAAAATATATACACCATCTCGTTCTACTGCTTATGGATCTGGTCAATCAAATCTGTCTGCCCCATCTTTATCATTTAAGTCACCAGATTCAAGACGTCTATCTAACGCTTCCTTAGAACCACCTATATCGAGGTCGAGTACGTCACGAAATGAGGTATTAATTTTCCCTATAATTATTATTTATATTTTTGAAAGAAAAATTACTGGAAGAGTTGTTGTAATTACGCATATATTTTATATACATATATGTGTTTGTATGTTCAGCGTGAACCTCTATTTCCAACATTATCTTCTATACCGACAACACGACCTAATGTTACCATGGTGCAACCATTTAAATCGCCATCTTTATCACCTACACCAATAAATCATGACATAAATCCACCATCACCAACATTTTATGATCGTCCATTACATCGTTCACCATCTCAATTGTCTCTTCAACAACGTAACCTTTATCAATCATCCTCCGCGAGACCTTTATCCATTAATAGTGGTGCTCAGACATTATCTTCCTCAGTAAGATCGACCTCATCAGTAGGAAGCCCTAGTGGATTTCCAAGATTTTCATCTAGTTTCAATCATCAAAAGTATGAAAGATCTGGTGGCTCTACTACAAGGGAACGGGATGGTAGTTTTTCGGGTCGAAGATATTCTAGATCAAGTTTGACGAATAAGAGTGACGGTTCAACTAGTGACCGAGGATCATATAATTCAGTTAGTTTATATAAATTTTTATTATTTCTTTTTTTTTCTTTTTTTTTTTAATTATTTTTGAATTTAAGTGAAGAAAAAAGAAATATAACCTTTATTTAATAATTTAATTTTTAGTCGTTCTTTGCATCACTTGATCCGGATGATGATGTAGCTGAATTTGTACAAATGATAAATACACGTGAACCACTAAAAATGTTTAGCAGAAGCCCAACTGGATTGGACGATGCCAATAATTCAGGGCGAAATCCGTCTGGTCGAACTCAGGTATATAGATATATATAATATTGTATATTATTTCTTATTAAATTTAATTAATATATATATATATATATTATTATTATTATTTAATTGAAATAATTAAATAATTTATATTTTTTATATTTGTTAACAATTTATATTTTTAATAATTTAAATAATTTATATTTTATTAATTCAGATACAATTATCCCGTTTTCAAAAATTAAAAGAGACACATAATAATTTACCAGAGTCTATGGCTTCAATGAGTTTACAAAATAATCTAGAACCACCAGGTGGATTAGGACTTGGTACTTCAAGTGGATCAGCATCATCATCATCAACCATGTCGTCCATAAGTAAATCATTGACGACGCATCATCATCCTAATGTACCATCGCGTCTTTCTGAAAATGTTACTGAAACAATGCCTTTACCAGTTCGAATACCTCAGGCGAGTATAGGGAATATGGGTGGTTATTCAGCTTATCATTTAGATTCACCTTCTACTTTGGAAACTCAAAACAATGATGATTCATTATATCAAGAATCAAATTCTGATTCAATAAAACATCATGATGAAAGACCTGCGGAAGTTAATTCAAAAACTTTAAGTGGTGAAAACCAACATATTAAGAATTATAATAATTATCTTGATGGATCACCTGCATCAGGTAATTCTTCACGTGCAGATGAAGAATTAATTTTTGTGATTGAGGAAAAGAACTAATCTACTATTGTGATCATTTTCATGATAAGAATTAAACAGTTATAATAACGCTCTTTTAGATCTGCAGGGAAGAAGCGTGGTTGACATGGTTGAAAAATGATATTGAAAAGTGATGATAAAAAAAAAGATGGCGTTTATCAGCTTTTAACTTTTAACAAACAACTTTTAAAAAACAACTCTTAAACAACTTTTTGACGATGAGTCATCCAAAAGAGATGTCTCATATTTAAGAACTTTTATCTTGTGAATTTAAAAATTTCTAAGATTTTCTCCCCACTCTAATCTATTTTTTTTTTTTTTTTTTTGGTCATTATTTAAGAAAACATTTAAACATTCACCTTGATTAATTAATATTTTTCATTCTGGATTATGGTTTTTTTTTTTTTGAACATTTGGCACTAATAAGACATGAATCACATTTATGCCATTTCTCTGTATAATTATTATAATTTGTTATTTATAATTTTCATTAATAAAATTGTTTTTTTAAAAGATAAAATCATTAGTTAAAAAAAAAAAAAAAAAAAAAAAAAAAAAAAAAAAAAAAAAAAATTAAAAAAATTAAACAAAAAAAAAAAACTAATTTTAAAAAAAATTTTTAATAATTGTTATATAAATT